TCCTTGTTGGCTTTTGATACTTGACACATAGCAGCATAACTGTTGAATAATGAATTCAAGTGTTGAGATAGCGCTTTAACAAACTGTGATAAATATTTCAAGATGGGACATTATGTTCTGGTCAACCCCTGAGCAGCCAACAGTCAGGGGTCACTGCTATTTCTCTACTAGTCTGTAGTTCTGCATATTATTTCCTAGCAGTAATAAACAGTTTCACTCATCTTGCATCCACCGTTAGCAAGAAACTACGACATGTCAAGTACAGTTTGCTGCAGTGCAAACTCAAGATACCACTTTGTCCTTCCTTGTCCTCCACAGGCAGCTTGTATGCAGCAAAGGCCTAGCGGCTAACTGCCTCAGCAATCATATCCTTAATCATTTGTAGCCATTTAAAGATTTAAGGATAACACACAACTCGTACACTGGCTATTTTACATGACAATACACGTATTTTCACTGAATTACGCAATGAAGTTGGCCGCAACCCGGCGAATCTTGTCGGCTAAGCTAATGCAGCTAACGCTAGCCCTTTAGCCAGCCTACGGACTCTGCGCCAGGGTTACCTTCTGCGGTGGCGGCTGCTGCCAGTCTGCGAGTGCTCTGTCCATGAAGGCTCTGTTGGGGCTCTTCCACTTTCTGGAGGGAGAACAGGGGAGCGCTAAACGGGTTGGCCCGGGCCAGCTGCGTCAAAGAGGTCGGGTACATGGTGGTGTCCTGCCTGCTGGCGGAGCTGCGCTGCAATGAGCAACAAGTTAGCTGAGTGTTAGCTTGAGCTAAGCTGCCGATGTGACACACACACACACACACACACACACACACTGAAACCTGAACCAAAGGATGCCATGTCACGTGCCTGTTAGCTTAACGTCTGAATGACCGCCGACAGGAAATACTTAGCTAACTTATTGAATGAAAACACAGCTAACGCTAAGCTACACTAATAAGCACACAACGACTATGTAAACTCCCGGGCCGTGGTTGTAACACCCAGCTGGAACACTGTGTGCCCACACATTCATGTAACCGTATTCCCCTTGTCCTTTTCTAGCATAGCGGATGCTAAAATGCTATGCTACATTACGTGCTAAGCTAACTTGACCGCTCCACAAGGAGCACGGTCTCCTCTTAACAGAGGAGGTAAAAGTCGCATGAACAAAACCGCTAACAGAAGCCACGATTAAATTAACCATTTCCTCCATTAAGACGTGGTTGTGTTATATTTCATATGTAGTGTTTTAAATGAATAAGTGCACTCACTCTCTCAGTGTCTTAAGATGGCGACTCCGCTTAGCTGCAACCGGCTGCTCGGAGAGGCCGAATGACCTCGCGGTAAACCGATTTGTCCTTTCGTGACGTCACCGAGAAGCCTGGGTGGGTCCTTCAACCTCTCTGTCCTGTAGGAAAACGCCGCAGAGCTGTCAATCAACATCTCTGGTCCAATCACACATTAGATCTATGATTAAATTAAGGCGGTGCTTGTAGGAACTTGCAATGGAATCCTTTGAACAAAGGTTAAAGTGTGCACGTGTAGCAGTCAAAAAATAGGGGAGAGAGGTGTGTGTGACGGAGAATGACACCCAGATGACAAACCATGAGAGGAACACAAATTGGATTACCTGTTAGCAGCTGTCTCTATTCTTGTCCTCAGTAATAAGGCTGAGAGTGAAGCCCCCTCTAGAGGTGATCACTTAGTGACGTCACCGCACACCTAGTTACACGTGAGGTGTGGTTAGTAGCATGAGAATGTCCAAATCCCTGGAGCATCACCTTTCGAGGGGATTTCTTTTGAGAGTGCTTGCTTTTTTTCCTATGTGATGTCCAAATCCCTGCCAAGATTTCACGTATTTCTGGTAGATTTTGATTTGTACATAAATACTTTAAAACTAACATAAAATAAGAAAAGTGACTATACGCTGCAATACCTTAGTGACTTGTCATTAATTGATCTCGAGTAAAAGGGAATTTACTGTGCCTTATACCCTTTACTTCTCTTTTCTTTGTTTTGTTTTAATTTTAATTTTGCAATAATCCTGACAAGACTTGATGTACCCTACATTATATTGATGTAATTATGTATTCTATTACGTGCCAAATGTCTGCATGTGCCATACACGTTGTTTGTATGACCTGAAATTTGAAATTAAAAAAAAAGAAAAGAAAAAAGGTGTGGTTAGTAGCCTGTGAGGTGAAGGATGGGTAAATTTAGTGTCACAGCATGAATGGAGTGGAGCTCCCTCTTCTCTTCAAAGGAAATGTCATTATGTTGTTTGTCATTCAGAAACAAATAAAATTGCTGACGGTAGACAAAAGACTACCGTCAGCAATTTTATTTGCTGACTGTAGACACAGACGAAGTCTGGAAAATTGCCAAGTTTCACCTTTTCTTAAAACAGAGGTGAGACCAAGCCATTGTTTTGCAAGTTACAAGTAGGTCTCAAGTCTTTGCAAATAAGTCCCAAGTCCAGTACCAAGTCAAGTCTGACAAGTCCTAAGTCCTGAACTTTGAATTTCGAGTGCTGAACAAGTCATAATGTGCTCTTCACCGCATGTAATGCCATTATAACAAGAGTAATAATTTAATTTACAAAAATCAATTTACAAAAGCCTGAATGCTTTTTAAAATGTATGTTTTTTGATAAGAAGGTTGTTAAAGTTACTAAACTATGTATATATTAACATCGGCTTACTATTCTTTGTGCAACTTCAAATGTTGTACGAAGTTGGACGTTGCTGTGTCTGTCTGTAATTTTTGATCCACACTTTTGCATACTGCTATTTGTTTGTTCTTGATCACCATGTAGTTTTTATACGCAAACAAAATTATCTTTGGCGGGCCTATCACTTTTCCAACTGGTGTTAATGTTCCGTTAGTTCTTCGTGGTTCTCTCCTGTAAATCGATTGGATGTTGTGAGGTTGGCTCATACAAAGTGGATCTCGGGAATTAAATGTGGACTTCTTGGGAGTGATTAATGTTAACATTAGATGACAGGAAAATAGGGAAATGAATTAATTAATGGAACATTTTAAATAGCATACTTTTTAATCTTTGGCCTCAGAAGAGGGTATCAGGTGTTTTCAAGTCAATCAGCTCAAGTCCAAGTGAAGTCACAAGACATTGGTGTTAATTCCAAGTCAGGTTGCAAGTCTCTTTCAATTTTGTTGAGTCCAAAGTCATCAAATTTGTGACTCGAGTCTGACTTGAGTCCAAGTCATGTGACCTGAGTCCACACCCTTGTCTTAGGGTGTTTTCACACTTGGTTCTTTTCAAATGAACCAAACTCAGTCCTCTTTAAGTGGACCAAAAAGTGGACCGACAGAAAAGGGACTCAGTTCTTCTTGAGTTCACATTGTCAGTTCATATGAAAGAGGACTCAGATCTCTCTTTGGTCCACTTCAGCTCTGGTGGAGTCTCAGTCCTCTTTCTCACACTATAGCCTATAATATATATTGATGTTGCTTTGTTTTTACTTTGATGTGGCACTGCAGTGCAGTTATGTACTTAAAAATGGAGGAAAACCTTACCATTTCTGTGCATTGTGGACAGTTGCCGTTTGATGTTTTCCTCGTTCCATATCTGAAGGAGTGCAGTTGTTCCATCGTCAGACCAAAGTGCTCCTTGTCCACTGGTTGTGCTGTCGTTACCTGTGGCCGTTGTTCCGTTTTGTCTATTATGCGTCCCACTGAAATAGCGTATGATCTGTCTACGGCAAGCCTGGAGGGCTACAATACAATTACAAAAAGGCAAAGCGGACCCTGAGCGTTTTGTGTTCACAATGCACAGGTTAAGTGAACTGCACTGCCGACTTGAAGCGAACCGAAACCTGAGTCACAGGTCTGAGTCCGCTTAGAGGGCTGAAAAGGACCAAGTGTGAAAACACCCTTATAGCGTCATGTGGGCCTGACGAAGCCCATCTGGAGATTCAGAATAAACTCTCCGTAGATGGACGCCTCTTGGACTGGAACACACACCTTTGTCGTGGCTGTGTGCAAACGGTGGTCTTTCAATTACAGTTAACATTGACATTAGATAACAAACACTTTTCTTGATGATGACACATTAAAATCTATTTTGTATTGTTTACAGGACTACTGGTCATTTAACATGGGGAAAAGTCGTGGGATGTAAGGGGTGTATTGATCTCTTTTTTTCCCCCTTTAAGCAGTAAATTAAAGTCTGTGTAGGGCCCCTGAGGCTGGAATGAGCTGCTGGGCCCCCATTTATACCACATTCCTCTCCCTGTCTGTACACTATGTACAGTATGTCCTTGCTGGAACAGGAGTTAAACATACATTTACTGGAATATACCGTATATAACAGTTTTTGTGTAAAAGATAAAACAAATTGCAAAAGTCTGAGCTTCTGGTGAAGTCATTGTAACATGTATGACATTGTGACATTCTTCTTCTTCACTGAAGAAGAAGAATAAATAGCCCTTCTATAGGTTCTTGCCAGAGGACCTGATGACACTGGTTACCACTAGCTGGTACCAATACCAATCTACCTCAAGCACCTTCTCCAGTTCCCCACCAAAAAGATGATGTTCCATGTCCCTAAGGCCAGTCTATTATGCCAAGGGTCATCACACCGTCGCCTACATACCCGCTTTTGTCTGCATGTAGGTTTTTCAGGCTGTGTCTGGCTTAGCCCCAAAAGTCAAGACCTGTCCACCAAACACTCACAGCGAGCTCCCCTCCCAAGTCTGGCTCCAGGAGAGGGCCCCAGTTTTTCCTTTTTTCAGCAAAATGCTGCAGGGTCAGTGAATGGCTCTTAGCCCTGTCCGACCCCTGGCACCTCTTTGCCTTGAGAGTTCGTACCAGGAGCTATTGCCCCTGCCCCTGACCTACACCTTCCAGGGTCACACAAACCCCTTCTCCAATGCTTGGAGAATTCAGTTAAAATGTATCACTAAAAATGTATTTGTTGCTTTAAAATGTTCACATTTTTGTATTTTTTTTACAGTGCACACACACACATTTTTGTGAATAAAATGCTCTTACAGGCACAGTAACAACATAATATTTTATTGAGTGGATATTCAGTATTTGTGACAGTGAATACATAATAAAGTAGAATACATAGGGACATTCTGTTTATTAGAAGAGAACATTAAGAAAATATTGGTTTTGGGTTTAAGAATATTCAGAAATATTTGGATTATAATAACAAGCCTCCCTGTCTCATTAACAAAGATGGTCAAGTAAGGTACAAAACAAAAATACAGGTTCAAACTCCATCTTCAAGGCTGTTAATGACCAACAGAGACAGACACTAAGGCAAAGTGTGAAAAAAAATCGCAACCACACGCATTCAATACAAACATACGTACACACACGCACCAAGCAAACATGACATAAAAAAACATGGCAATAAAAAGTGAGTTCACATATTTCTATGAAAGCTACTGTGTGTGGCTGGCTTTGTCGTAACCTCACAGACCGACGGCACGGGAGGCACTGTCCTTTCACAACATGTCATGGAGATCACTGAAGTGTCAATGAAACGGCTAAGTTGCGTCTCTTAAGGTATTCACTGAAAACTGATTTAGAAATTGAAAGAAAAAGACAAAATCTTGAGGAAAAAAGGGCAAAGATGTCAGATGATTTCACAGCGCCCAGGAACAAAATGGCTACAATGCAGATTCACACTTGGAAAAAAAGAAAGAAAAAATAGAAGCAGGCAGGCTTCTGTTTCTCCCTCAGATTCTTCCTGTGCTCTCTATGCTGTGCTGCCACTGCTGGCCACTTCTGTGTCTGAGGTGCCAAAAGGGTTGATGGAGTTGGTCTCCATGGCTTGGTAAACCAGGAACAGGAATGCAGCCACAATGGCCAGCAGGAACAGCTTTATCCACAGAGACATGCCGCGGGGCGCTGCTTTGGTCTGACCTGCAGGGGGAGCTGCAGACAGAAGCCTGGAGGAAGGGGAGGTGGCGGTGGTAGTGAAAGAGGAGGTGGAGGTAGAAGAGGCAGAGGGGGGCAGGCTGCTGACTCTGTTGACAATGCAGCTCTCTGTGTAGGTGGAGGAGGAGCTGGTTGTCTTGGTGGTTTTTGGAGAGAAGAGGAAGTTTTCGTTGTTCCACAGGTCACTGGACTTGATTGGACGCCGGGCAGCTCCTTTAATGGGTCGTCGACAGGTGGCGCTGCAAAAGACAAGGATTTCACAGTCATTGTTTCTGAGGGTGAGATGAACTGTTTTAGTATCTTAAAGCACAGCAAACAATCTTAAAGATACATTACAGATCCATCATTGTTTCTTAGTTCTTGCTCTCACTGACTTATTACCAGAGTTGGGTATAACGTGTTACTTTGTAACGCGTTAGAGTACTTTGATTACTTTTTGCAGTAATGAGTAACCTAACAAGTTAGTTTGTTGTTTGAGTAATCAAATACTTGAGTACATTTTCAAACAAGCCATCAGTTACTTCTGTTACTTTTAGAACGCTGGTCTTTCAGCTCCGAAACAGCAACGGCTGTCGTTTGGTTCTAATAACGGAGATAACGTTAAACCTATCAGTCTGAAAGAAGTCATGAAGCTTGTGGCTCGCTACGTGGTAGAAGAAATGCTGCCATTGTCTATGGTGGAGTATAAAAAAAGGTGGAGTAGGACTTGCTGACAGACAGGTCAGACTCAGGACTTGCATTATGCCTGGTACACGCTACACGACTTTTCTGCCCGTTCTGAAAGTCACTATGTCACATTACATGATTGTGTCATTAAATCGGGCCGTGACACGGCTGACAGACGTGAAGCACTACATGACAGTACTCACCAGATAAAAAGTAGACACAGAGGGATTAATAAATAACGGACCGTCTATAATGTAGCCTGTTTCAAATGAAGCTGGGAGCCTCTGCAGTTGTGGTGAGTAAAAGCCCCGCCGCTATTTGTTAATGTTATTACTTTATGTCCGACCGTGAGGATGTACAGAAGACAGAGTAGTTGTGCACACATCCAATCCTGTTTTTGGTCAGGTGCTGGATAATAGGGGTCCATGCAGAAAGAAGAAGAAAATCTGCACACTGAATTAGAGCTCCCAGTTTACTTTATTGACTAAAATGCAATGTTTCGACCCAAATGGTCTTCCTCAGGCAACTTCAAAAGGCCAGATGTAACATTGTTTGCTAGCTTGATGCTAATGACAGTAACGTTAACTCAGCGGGTTGACAAAGTGCCTCTGCTGTTTCACACCATCATTTCCCCCTTTTACTCTGTGTGGTAACATCCCTAGAGGAAATATTAAAAATGCTGGGGTGTTGTTGTCATACAGTTGTCTACGGCAGCAGATCGTTCTGTGTTTCTACTGGTCAAAGTGACGGCTGTGATGGGAGAATTGGATCTCAGTGAAGGGCAAGTGGTCCATAACTTTGGTCATTAACTGCTTGAGTTACTTTTCTCAGGGAGTAACATTGGAAGTACTTTAAAAGTACTTGAGTTACTTTACTCAAGGAATAATGCAGTAAAGTAACTGGTTACTTTTTTTAAAGTAATGCAGTAAAGTACTTTGATTACTTTTAAAGTAACCCTTACTCAACTCTGCTTATTACACAAGAACTGTGGACATGAAGTCATATGGACTGACAGGTTTGCTCAGGTTTGATGACTGCTCTAACTGCCTCTGTGTACACCAAGCTCACGTGTGCGAGCTTGTGCACGAAAGCACGTGAACACAAATGAAGGAGGTACCCATGTCTCACGGTCCCGCGCAAGCGCACACATGTGAGCGCGGTCTATAGAGAGGCAGTTAGAGCTACAGGCTACAATGAGGCTAAAAACAGAGTTTAGATTACGTTTTTCCAAACAAATTTTTATGTCGGGGCTTCAGGACACTTGGATCACTACGGATGAGCAGTATGGAGATACTTTGTGGTTTCAATTATGTGTTTTTTGGGCGTTTTAATCTGGGGTGCCATCAGCCTGCATTAGGTGGAGTTTTGTTGCTAGCCCCTCTCCCCTGGGATCTCCTAAAGGGATGTGAGGACTCTAAAACTTCACCTGAGCCTCCCTCGGCATACGGGTGAGTAGATAATGGCTGAATTTTCATTTTTGGGTGCACTGTCCCTTTAACTTGAATAGGTTAAGATATCTGACTGCTGGTTGGACACATCACATTAGGGTGACTAATTTTTTTAGACAGGAAAAAAGCATTAATGACTATCAGTTACTTACGTGATTCCTGTTGGACTATTGATGTCATTGGGGAACAGCTCCTTCAGAATGTCAGTCTCCTCCACTTTGGGGGCTTGCTCACTGGCTGCAATTTTCTCAACCTGAAAGACAAAATGAGCACAGAGAGCATGATTTAAAGAGCTAACACAGATGCAAACGGAAAATCCTCCCAATTACTTCACACTGCAACCACCTGTAGGTGCATGTTTGGACCAGCAGAGGGCGCCCTGCTTGATATTAGACACCTCTCACCATGTGACCACTTCAAACAAAAGGCTGAGCCAACCACCATGTTGACTACTGAACCACCTTGTGAATGTGACACAGAACACAGTCCCTGCAGGGTAACAGTCTACCTGTCTCACTAACACATCCTTGGACAGCGTGGACGTGCAGTTGAGCGTCTTCAAAGGGCTGCATGTGGACAGGAAGCTGGTGATTTTCTGCTGCCTCCTTTCATGCAGCAGGACATCTGGAGGGACACACTCCTCCTGCTCACAAACAACGTGTGTGACTGTGTGTCAAGGTTGTTTAACCAGCTAACAGTTCAGCTGTCACACAACCGTTACTGCAAAGAGCCTCAACAGCTGCACACACAACTGAGAGATTGATCATTAACAACCCCATACTGGTACAGACTGAGAGTTTCAACTCTTTATGTTTAACCAGAGACAATGCACCATTCAGGTCCAAGTGTCAGAGAGAAGCACGAGTGACGGACAAGAAAAAAAGGGAAAAGTATGAAAAGCAGCCACCACATATGTATGAGAAGAGCTGTACCAGTGCTGCAGAGACACCACCGGGCTTAGATCCAAACTGGTCTGACCAGTGGCTCTCTTGTCTCTTAATGGGTGAGATGTTACTCATGGGGCTAAAGGTGACTGCATCGATTTTGGCGAGTTGAACCAAAGGGGAGGAAGGGCACGATGGCTTGGCAACTGGCCTTGGACTCTGTTTAGTACAAATGAAAGAGCCTGCCTGATGAACACAGACTAGATTATTACACATACATGCTCAGAAATGTACAAAAATGAGGGAAAGAAGAGGAACTTACCATTATACTAAACACACTAGATATAAATGATTTCAGTGATTAATTCTAGTGTTAAACAAATTCTACGCACCGCAGCTGCTGGACGTAAAGGTTTGATACTTGACTCAGGTTCCTGAGACACCAACACAAATACACAAGATCAGAAAGAATGAATCAGAATTCAGGCTGAAGCCTTACACTCTGTCTACATCACACACACACACACACAAACACACAAACACACAAACACACACACACACACACACACACACACACACACACACACACACAGCCATGCTCACCACCCCACTCTGAGCTATTCCCGGAAATTCATCACCACTGTGCTGACTGATTAACTGTTACTCAAGTTTGCTGATATGATGCTGTGGACATGCCAAATGTCATTTTGTGTTAAACAGACAGGTGCTAACCTCTAGCAGAGCGGTGTTGAGCAGAGCGACTGGCTTGTGAGATGAATCCTTGCTGAGTTTAGGAAGACTCAGCTGTGGCTTTTCCTCTCGGAGCTACAAGTTTAAGACAGAAGGTGAGCAAGCAGACACTTTCTTCAAGGACTCTACAAACTGGCTCTCCAACTTCAATCTCCATACACACATGCATTTTAGCACTGCTGCGGAAATAATCTCCATCCATACTAAGAGGCCTGACAACGCATATCACATGAGTATTCAGGTACACTAGGCATGTGCGTGCAGGTATAAACAGGAAGCAGGTTGTCTTCTCTGTAGTTGGTTGCTTAGTTAAGGAAATACTAGGGATATGGTGAAAAAATAAGACCAGAGTTTGCTTTGTTTAGACACGATGAGGTGGAACGGTTACTGAAAGTAATGTAACTATAGGCCGATCAAGGTGGTGGAAAACAGATTGGACGTTGTGGCAAAGCAAATACGTAACATATCAGAGCGGTGCCTGCCAGCAGCATTATCCATTACCAGAGGAAGTCATGGCGATGGGAAAGTACTGTACTGCCAACACAGGAAGGATACAATCACATAAGATATGTACCCAAGCTATAGTCTCGTGTAGCCAGACCAATCCACACAGCACTGCGTCAGCACTTGAGAAAGGTCTACAATCGGCATATAGAAAAAAACCCTTTGCCTTGTCTTTATTTCTCTAAACCAATCACAATCATCCTGGGTGGCACTAAGCCCGGGATGCAGTAATAGTGCTCTTGTAAAATAGTGTCAGGAGGAAACGAACACAGTGACAGGGCTAAATTTTTAATGGGTTTCACAAAATTGAGGCGTTTGTGTATCGATGGGATACCAGCTTAGTGCTGGACTTTAGCTCTGCTGCCGTGTCAACTAATGCTAACTGTGCAGACTCTATGGGAGGAGAGCGGCTCTGGAGAGGGTGGCAACAGAAAGTTTGCTGATCTGGCGGGGAACTGAGATGGTTCGAGATCAGACCTCTGGTGCAAAAAGGATCATACTCGGGTATTGTCTGACTCGAGATGTGTCAGACACCAAAACATTGGGCATGAGAGCCAATGTTGTCAATGCACCTCAGAAAAGCCCAGACGGAGTCTGAGGTGTGTTGACAAGTTGTTTTATTCGTTGTAGATCTTAACAACAATTCACCGAAAGAACAAAGCGGGCATGCCGCACTGAACGATCCAAATCTTCGTCAAAACCTGCCGTTTTCAATGTGTAAGTTGGAGGTTGTTATTGTTTCCTGTAGCAAAGGAGATTTTGAAAATGGTAACACGCATTTTCTTATCTGTCCAGAATAAAAAAGCAAACTGGAAGTTTTCAAACTACAATGGGGTCACTGTGTTTTACAGTGGCTGTTCTAGGGGTTCCAAGTTACTGGAGTAGTGTGCATGCTAGGCAATAACGAAGCAACAGCAATGCATTTTAAAATGAAAATGTATTAGTGTGGATGTAGCCTGAGGCAGTCGTATCAGCAAATTAAACAAACCTGAGAACTTGCAATGACTATCACCAAGGATTGATACAGGAAAATAAACTGACAAAGCACTAAAAAGCCACAGAAGTTCCTGAAGGTTGTGCTAGTCCATCACCGTGGCAAAGAAGCAAGTGAAATGTAACCCACATGTGACCAACAGCCCGGTTGATTACACACATATTTGTCAACACATGGCTACCCCTAGGTGCAGTTTGAGACAAGATGTTTAAAGAAAAGCACCCATCTCTTCAACAGATCAGTAGATGGTGGAACAGAGCCATGAGTCTGTGCAGTTATCAGTGAGTAAACAAACAGCCACAGTGGCAAAGGCCCAGAGCTACCTGAGCAGGTCTGGATGAAGTAGAGGGAGGTTCAGCCCGAGCTGGACTGTCCAGTCTGTGATGAACCCTCCCTTTGGACTCCGACGAGACCTGATCTGTCAATACAGGCCTGAGATCCTCAGGCACTATCTGCTGGGACAGAAAACCAGAACTATGGACAGAGTATGGGAAGAACGGTGGACAGGAAGTGATAACTGTAGCAAGAGAGGACAAGTGAAACAGAGAGGAGGTGCAAAGCACAGAAAGATGAATAAGTACTTTTGTTGTTTGTAACTTAAGTGAATAAGTCAGTATGAAACACATTAGCCAATGAATCCTTGTCTTTTATAGTGCCATGATGAATACCGTTATCACATCTAGGCAGCAGTTATCAGATAACTGCGGCAGTTTTGTACTTTGACTCACGGCTAGAGGAGCTAAAATGAAGCCAGGTGTGAAGGTGCACAGGTGGACAAAGATTCCTGACCAGAGAAGTGGGTGTGGAACTGTACACCAGTGGGTTTTATTGGTTACAGCGTGAAAGGAGTGGAGTAAGGGGGGTTATAGTATTCACCATTCTATGGGACAACCTCCTGGATCTGCGCTTTACGTGCAGGGCAGGCTCTTCTTCATCTTCATCATCCATCAACTGGTCTCTCTGAACACATGGTATGCACATTCCAGCAGACAATAAGAATACCACTCTTTGACTTATAGCCCATATATCACAGTTCATGTTTGCTTCTCCTTCAGTCCAGTGACTCTTCAATGCATACCCATATGTACTGCACCTGATGCTTTTAACTTCTTTTTCTTCTTTTCTTTTTGCTTAGTTAAGCACAGGTTGATCAAAGTCTATATGGCGTGCAATATTAAAGGCGCTGTATGTAAGAGTGTGGCCAAAATGGTTACTGCACTCAAATTCAAAATACTGCCCCGAGTCGTGTCCGCCCCCCCTCCCCTACAGATTCGAGGTTGCTGGACAGCGGCACGCTGGAGACTGATTTGTTTGCCCACGGGCGGCTGCTGTGGCAGGGCCGCGTTCTTGATCTTCGGTTTTCCAGCAGACCGTTCGAGCAAGTCCGGCTTCTCTGCTGCTAACGCTGCTGTCGGGATACAGCTGAGGAGGAGCCGGCTGCTAATGCTATGTACCGGGACACTGCTAACGCTGCTGCTGGAATACAGCTGAGGAGGAGCCAGCTGCTAACGTTATGTACCGGGACACTGCTAATGCTGCTGCCGGGATACAGCTGAGGAGGAGCCGGCTGCTAATGCTATGTACCAGGACACTGCTAATGCTGCTTGCCGTGCTGCTGTAGCTCAGTTGTAACTGTAACTGATGCTGAGACTCTACTGACTGTGTGACTGGTAGATGGCGGTGGGTGGCGCAACAGGCCAAAACACAAATTCAAAACATAATAATGATTTGCGGACTGTAAAAATGTTTTTTAAATGCGAATATTCTGGCTGTACTATTGTTGTCGGTGAGATCAGTATGTTATATGAACATTATTCCTTAGTCTCTGTGACATATTAGGAGGATTTTACGACTATTTGCTTTAGATTTCTTACATATAGCTCCTTTAAGTGCTAATATTAAATATTAAAGTGCTGACATAAATAATCCCTGTGATGGCTCACCCTGCTCAGTTTCAGTAATCCAAAATGTTATATTTAATCATTGTGGTTAGAAACACCGGGAAGTTGGTGATAAATGAGGCTCCAACACTCTTCATAGGGTGAAAAAAATAACAGGGGCAGCCAAACATCTGAATGCAATCCAATCTGATGGCTCGGCAGCACATGCTGCCATGTGAGACTTGTGACAGTTTTAGTTGAGACATGGAGGTGCTGCTTTAATCCTGGTAAGGTGTGAGGTTCTATATGGTGGTGTTGTAGTGGATTACACAGCACTACAAGATAAACTTACTTCACTAACTGTGTTTTTGCACTGTGATGGGCTAATTCCCAACTCAGACACAAATTCATAGAGCCTGAAGTAAAGTGCTCCGACATGAAAACAGCTTACCTGGGGCTCTGTAAAACACCACAGAGTGCTGAAACAGTTCATTAACCAATTAGCTGATCAACAGGAAAACCAACATCAAGCCTGAAAGTCATTTATCAAGATTGATGATTTTGATTAATTTCACAGGGTTGAAAAGATTCAAGTGTAATTTCTAACAAGATGCTTTAGAGTGGAGTAATTTTTGTTTTCAAATTGCTCTCTCTGATTTATAAAACATAAAAAACAAGGCCAGGTCAAAACCTAGGATATGGTTGGACCACCTTACACTAAAGGGCTTTTACTATGAAACAGGAAGTGGTGGCTTTCACTCAGTCACTAATGTTCGCGTGTATATGGCTGTCTCTGCCAAAAACCTTCTGTAAATACCTATCAAAATAAAGAACATACATTGAGACACAGTCACATTGCAAAGGGAACTCCTTTTTGCTCGTTTTATTACCACCAGCCCCACTTCAGCCTCACTGGGTTATATACATCCCCATGTAACTGGTGGAAGGTGCACAGCCATTGGCCATTATAAGAGGCACGTTACCCTGATAATGATAGTCTGCAAAACGTCCTATTGCCGCTGATTAATCAGCAACCACTACTTTGGACTGTTGCTTGGACTAAACAAGCAATGTAGAGATTCCTCCTGCAGCTCTCATTACTGGATGATTGATTAATTATTGAAAAATACACGGATTAAATTAGGGTGAAAGTTGTTGTCCAAACTAAAGTTGCTTTGATCAAACCAAACTGGGTAATTGTGTATAACATTAAGGGCAAGTCAAGTCTATTTCTACAGCAGAAAAACTTGTCTCTTTACTATTTGTGCAACATATGCCAATCCCTGTCCTAGGATTGATAAAGAAAAGCAGAAGCAACAGAGGAGGGGATCCCTTTTCCAGGACCGATAGACATCCCATAATTGAATGTAAAGTAGACAGAAGTACCAGGAGGACAATAAGAATTTAGAGGAACAGAAATACAGATTACAGCCAGTAACAGCAATGTACTGTAGCCACAATAGAAAAAAAGAACTGCAATATACAACAAAAAAATAAAAGATAAAAGAAGTAGCATCAAAAAAAGAATATACAACAGATGGCCTGTGTATAAGATAAATGCTGTTTAGGCTATGTACAACCAAAAAGTGTACCAAAACCTTCTGAAGTAACAACACTAGTCCTGATTAAGTACACAGACACACACACACACACACACACACACACACACACACACACAGCTCCTCCTCCGCAGCTCATATCAGTTTATTGTTGGCAGCATTCCTGGAGGCCTGAGTTCAACAGGTGCACGTTCACAGTGAGAACAGCAGGAGGAGCTGCTCACAATCACATTCACAGTAACACTGCTCTATTACACACACGGGAGATGACTTCACATTGCTATTTCCTTAAAGGGGCTATTCAAACACTGGATCTGATAACACTTTGGACTATTTTGAATATCTACAGAACAAACAAAACTGGGAGAGGGCGAAGGTTTTATGATTACGGTGACTGTATATAGACCCAGACGTCGAGTAGCAGAAGCAAAGTCAGAGAGAACAAATGATGGTACTGAAGAGAAGAGTCAGTGTGTGAAGAGGTCTGAAGCATCCCGCGTGTGCATGGCAGCAGCTAATCCACATCATGTGCTTTGAGTCTGACATGCAGCGAGCAGCGCTGATACACTGAACCTACACACTCACGCTGAGCTGGGTGTGACTGCGCTCCAATAAAATGAAAAACTGCTTCCGTTGCCAAGGTTAGAGGAAACTGTATAATCAACCCCAGCTGCTGGGTGTCCCATCCTACCTGCTTAAAGGGAAACGTTGCTAGTTTTCAACCTGGGGCCTCATTACAGAGACTTTACAAGTCTGAAATCGTATCTTATTTCAGTTTCATGTGACATTTCGGTGAAATTTGTTCATGTTATCACAGCAATATAAAACAGATAGTAAAGAGGGAATTATATATGCAGTAAAAAGGCCCTTGAAGCAGTCTTTTTTTTTTAAATGTGTTTTTACGTGTAAGGTTACGTTAAAGGTTGTTTCATAAACTTCTATCATTGAATTTGTGCTGATTTAAAGGTAATGTAATGAAAGGGTTAATGACTTTAAAACAGTTCAGTTATTTTTTAATCTTGTACATTTCTGTTTCCCTGGCACAGAAGGAGTAATAAATAACGAAACAAAGTAAACAACAATATAAAAATATCGGTATCAGCTATCGGCCAGAATTGCAAAATTGGTGATCCCTAGTTAGAATGGCATAGACCCTTTCCTAAATTTAAAGTAACTGCCAAAAATGTGTCTGCATTAGGGTTGTCAAAAGTATCGATACTCAAACGCTGTATCCGGATACAATACTAATTTACAAAAGTATCGATACTAACAGTGCACGCCACCTCAGTGCCTGTCGGGTGCGCCCGACGGGTCCGGACACGCGCTGTGCAGGCAGCGTCTGGCAGGCACAGAGCCCTCGCTGCAACCCGGCAGCTGGTGTCACCAGCATCAAACTAAAATATAACTTCTAACGTTAATGTGGGAGCTAAGCAGAAAACTTTATCAGTCATGCCTGTCTGTAACATTAATAGACAATGTTAGTTTAACAGGACAACATAATTATGTGTGTCTGAAAAGTTATGTTAACTGTAAAGTCACAGATTGAAGCTGTAAAAACGTTTGGTTTCTCCCGTAACCCCTGGTTCTCTGATCACATAGTGAGGTAGAAACAGGAGCATCCTGAGCCTAAACTACCAACTCTATTTGATCAGCAACGAAAATATGGTGCCAATTCACCAGAAGCACAGAAAATAAACAGGGCTGTTTCTGGTTGTTATTTATTTTGGGGGGATTTTTTGTTGTTATCATTGATGTTACTGTTCTGATCTTTATTTAAAAAATGACATGCCTCTTAATTTTTTGCTGCTGTATCGAAAATGGTATCGAGTATTGAATATTTTCCTGAGTATCGATATCGAGTTTGAAATTTTAGTATCGTGACAACCCTAGTCTGCATGGTGATGATGATGAAGATGGGTAACAACAGGAACACTGAAATACAATGATTGAGAGGATACTCAAACTGTGTGATGGAGTCTTTAAATTTAAATAAATAATTTAATGAAAAACAGTTGGTTCAATCAAATAATTGATGAGAACACTTACTAACAGGTGGGGTTTCCTCTCCTCCATCGACACAATTAGTGTCTTCGACCTCTCCTTGCTAAAACTGAACACCTGTCTTTTTTCTTCTATCATAACAAGCTAGTTAGTCACAAGTGAGAGCTGTTGATATTATAGCTTGTCCATCTTCAGATGCCTAGCGGTCCATTTTAATCATAGATACAGGTATGACAGGAGGAGTGCCGACTGAAGAATCCATGATGTAGGACACACACTCAGCACATCTCAGGGTTTCCACACATTCATTTGTGGCGTCCCGCAACGATTTCAATAGCTGCCGCCACATTTTGATTTTCTATTTTTGGAGCTGGACCGTTCATTAGGTACGCTGTTGAATTATATGTGCCGTTAGGTTATTAGTTACTCCATGGAAAGAGCAGTAGTCCACCAGGTGCAGTGAAAGTGAAACTTAACCTCAAGTGCACTGGGTCTAAAGTTTGCTTTCACTCACAAACGGCTGCTCCTCTCATCCATCGATCTGATCTGTTTCAGTCTGATCAGATTAACTGATCGGTTAACCACTGCGTGTCTCAGAACTCCACAAACTGCTGCTGAGGAAGAAGAGTTCTGCCTGCACTGGCTCAACCTCCCCACCCACCCACAATTTCGTGAAGATAATATACCAGATGCCAAAACTATCGCAGCAGACTGCGAGCAGGCCACAGAGCTTTGTGGTGCTTCTGCGTCCACTGTAAAACTGGCGTTAGATTAGCAGCTTTCACAACAACCTAAACAAACCAAACCAAACAGGGAAACACATCAGAGTTCACTTGAACCAAAACACGTTAGGTGTGAGGCGCACCCTTACTGTATGTATGTAGCAGCTCCTAATGAGTAACTTTAAGTAAACATGGTTAAGGAATTAGGTATTACAGAAAACTGTCAGAAGCTGGCAAATTACAAGTGGCTCCAAATGGAAACATTACAACTTGGCTTTCAAGCATGGGTTTCCAAACCTGTAATTTCACCAGGAAATATACAGCTCCTCTATCATTGTGGTTTATTGTTGCGCTGGAATGACACACTGTCAACACCCAAACTACTGCGATCAGACAGTGCGGCAGACACATCTGTATCGACACATTTACATCACATCAGCAGATTGACGTTATGATCACTATGACAACAGACAGACGATTATTGGAGAAACCAGGAACATCTCTATCAAGTGTCCTCCATTCAAAGGCGGTGCAAGGACAGTCCAGTTTGTTGGAAAGCTGGTTCTCACCGTTTGGTGCTGGCTGCTGCGGGTGCGGGTGGTGACGGGCGTCTTCCCTCTGCTCCTCACCGGTCTCTCCACCACTGGAGCTAGTTCAGGTTCTGGTTCAGGTTCTGCCACAGGTTCTGGTTCTTCTGGTGGGGCTGCCACTTCTGACAAAACACAGCACAGTCACACACTGTTACTTGAGGGACATGCAGGTGGGTTTAGTTATGAACAACAAATTGTTATTTTACATAGTTAAGGTTTTTATTGTCAGCTCCTCCTCGCCATTAGTTTCCATTCATTTCAGCACAGTGGAAATATCGGACTTGAAACTTTGAAATGCAAGTGGGGACTCTCACACGCTGCCTTGCCTTTGCATTTCTTTTTAATGCAAAAAGTACTTTGAAAAACTCCATGTTTGCTAGGTGTTAATAAGCGTAGTGTTGTGAGTTACCTATCTGGCCCTATTTAACTTAAAGTTGGGACATGAATCTGAAAATATACCATATGCTTTGGAAAGGTTTTGTCAGTGTAAATGTTTAACAACGTTAAGACAGCTAATCTTCCTAAATAACATAACACATACAATATATCATTGTGGTTATACATTACATGTATTATAATAAAGCACTTCAAAGTAAAAGTCTTTAGAAAGTGAATACCTACTGCACACATTTAAGATAATCACATTGCTAGTATACAAACCTTAACCCTACCATAGTGTCTGGCATACATAATCAGTATGAATGGTGTAACACCGTTCTTACCATCCTCCTTGTCACTGTACAGGTCTGATTCGGAGTTGCCGTTATGGTTGTGGTTGACTTGTATCTCAGTGAGAACCAGCTTTGGCTGAGGCAGCTGTGCAGGACCGTCATCCAGGAGCCTCTGCAGCTTCTTCTCATAGACCTTACGGGTGGACGCTGTGAGGATGAGGAGAGGGGAGACGTTCAGTTAAACCTGCACAAGATGACCTGACCTGTTAATTTCTCTGAGTCATTACACCGTATCAGTAGAGTACAGAGAGACTTTTGTGATGATTCCTATAATGACTGAAGACCAGAGAGAGGCCACAGCTGCCTCCGGACAGAGGACGAGCTTATTGCTGGTGTCTTTCACTTAGGTTAATTGCAGTATGATTATCAACATTACCATGATATTTACCATTATTAATGCTTTGTTTATATTTTCTTATTAGTGTTTCTGTGCCTTACACCTCATCTGCACTGGCCTTGCAAGAAAAGCAACACGTGATCATCAGCCCAACAGCTGCAGCCACACTTCTGCTTAGCCTCCTAGCCCAATACACAATCAGGCATACATTCAAGACTAGGGATAGACCGATATGGATTTTTTAGGGCCGATGCCGATACCGATTTTTTTCCATCACCCTTAGCCGATGACCGATTATGGACTGCCGATTTTCTTGAGCTGATATTTGGGGCCGATACTGCTTTTGCTCCCTCAATTTACATCAAAAAAATGACACAATGATAACAAATATTACAGGTCTCAAGTTTAAAATAAGAAACATTTATTGAACAGTAAAAAATACTAAAACAAGATGGAAAGTTGAGGTAGAACAGGTAGAATATTATTATTATTATTATACATTCAAATAAAAAAAAGAGTTCAGTGCTCTTAAATCTTCCAGTAATGTCTTTATAAAATAAACAAATATTTAAGCTGAAGCATAAATAAAACAACAACTACTGTACACAGTAGGATTCTCTGCATGTGCGCTGCAGGGTCTTCTGGCAACACAGAGCTGCCCTTGGATGCCTGTCTGTAAATCATGCCAGGGAAAAATAAATCCGCGAACCCACGCGCGTATCGGCCGATGCCGATACAAGCCAAAAAACTCAAATATCGGCCCGATATATCGGCTGGCCGATGTATCGGTCTATCCTTACTCAAGACTACACACAGGCTGTTACAGGGCCAGCGTGGACAGCTGTATTATTTAAAATGGATGTCTGTTGTGTCTGACAGGTGGTTGAAAGTGCAGCTGCCATTTACAAAACCTGGAGTTCTCCTGCATAATCCTACACTGTCATAAAATTTGAACTCAAAAGAAGAATATATAACCCTAACAATAGAGAATACCAGATAAAACAAATTAACTGAATCTCGTTAGATATTCTAGATTGCCATTCAACATTGAGAGCAGTCATTAGTGTCATTATTAAACTTCTCTGATAAATTACTGGTGTGCACAACATCAATTTAGCACATCATTTCGAGGAGGCTTTCACATCAGGAACCTGGGCCCAGATCCAAGTACACTTGACCCCACGGTCCAGTTTGTTTGATTAGTGTGAACACATGTTGATGCGTGCCCGGGTCCACATGAAAAGGTGGTCCCGACTACACTTAATGTGCACTCAGTTAAGGTACATATCAGGTGTGAATAGCAAGGTAACGGCAACCTTGATCTTTGACCACCAAAATCTAATCAGTTCATTGTTGAGTCCAAGTAGACATTTGTGCCAAATTTGAAGAAATTCTCTCAAGGTGTTCTTGAGACATGTGTTCATAAGAATGACAGATGCAGGGTCACAGTGACCTTGACCTTTGACCACATAAAAGTAATCATTTCATCATTACAGTCCAAGTGGACGTTTTTGCCAAATTTGAGGAAATTCCCTCACACCCTTATTGCGATATCACATTCATAAGAATGAGACGGATGCAAGGTCACAGTGACCTTGACCTCTGACCACCAAATTCTAATCAGTTTATCGCTAAATCCAACATGGATATTTGAGCTGAATTGAGGAAATTCCATCCATAGTGTTCTTGAGATTTGACACCAAAATCTACTCCATACATTGTTGAGTCCAATAAAATTGATTGATTGATTGATGCCACAAACTGATGACCAAATACTTTTTTACAATGCCTGCCTGTTTTTCATCTGTCTTGCTATGTTAAACTAATTGACCATGACATTCCAGAGTGATCACTTACAGAAAGGGTGAAACATGCTATTATCTAACATGTCAAAGCCTCTTGTGAATTCCACCAGTGTGTACCACCAACACACCAAATCCCTGTGTGTGTTAAGTGCAGTCATGTGTCTGTGTCCCGAGGGTAGATGTCACCTCAGTGTTTCACCTCACACGACCCTGCTGCTGGTTCTGCTAATGTGAGCACTCACCCACAATGGGCCCCACGTCCACTCCGTGCTTGAGCAGTTCGTCCTTCAGGCCCTCGTCGCTCAGCAGGGTCACATCCAGCTCGTCTGGCAGAACCTTGTCTGTTTTCCTGGTGGCTTTCTGTGAGAGGAGAACAGGCAGCCTGGTTGGTAACTGTACTCTTTACTCATCAGGGTCAGGTCTGGGACGGTCATGGATTTATTTGTGACCTTAGGCAATGTAATCATCAAGTAATGACAACAGTCAGATGCCAGACTGTTTTGTTTCTGGGTCTTACATTGCTGGCCAAAATAACACAATATTCACATTTTTTAAAGCACTGATTCTCACAAAAATAACTTTTTCTCATATCCTGAGGAAGTCCTATGAAAAATTCCTGCCCTTCTCTAAAGCATTTTGCATTTTCTGTGATGTTGGAATGATTGTATTTTCACTGATTGAGAATACTGAGACTATTGTGACAGTTCACACCCCAAAGTGCAGATGGTCTGTATCCTCCCCTGCCCACCTGTTCCCCTCCAAAATCCTCCTGTGAAATCATACCTTTAGCTGAGTTCATTCACTCAGAGCAAAGCTGTGTTTGTGGAGTTATCAGTTACAGACAGTTACAGAAACCTGTTCACCAGGTTGCTAATTATACACAACACTGCTATCAGTAATCATAAAGTGACACCGATTCAAAAACGTGCAGGAAATGAATGTGAGTGGATTCAGCTTTTTTTTAATCCACAACTGATGGCTTTAATGATGATGATCTCTGAACATATTCATACACAACATATGATGTGGAAGAGAAGCTTTTACTTGAGGAGTTTCCTTCAATTTCCTCAGATGAAGTGAAGCCAGAGAGACAAAAGGGAGGGAAAAAAAGCGGCACTCTCTGCCAACGCTGCAGGCGTTTCATGATAGTAAACAACGCGCTGGGTTAAAACCGCCCCTCACACTCACAGCCTACAGGAAATTACTCTAAAGCCAGCTGCATCTGAAATGAAGCCTTGTGTCTCCCCAGCTCACAGCCGAAGGAGATCCTGCCTCGGAGTAAAAGTAGGCATGCATAAACGTTTTTGTAAGAACACAATGTGAGCATACCCATTACACATGCTGTCATACAGGGTTAGGCACTAATATTTCTAAAGGGACGGTTCACCCCAAAATCAAAAAACTGGAAAGACGTAACAGCAACGTCTCCAACAGAATCTATATTAT